AGTTGGAAAAGTATTTACTTGAAAGAAACACGATTCCAAACAGAATCTAATTCTAATCTAATTTAATTCCAATCTAATCAATTTAAATTTAAATTTAAATTCAGATGCAAAAACTTTGTATTTAATAGATAATTATTTAATGTACGTAGTAAAGTAACTATTGAATCAAAGTGATAATTAGTAATTTCTTAAGAGAAATGACTACGCATAGTATCACCCTCTAGAAATTTTAGGATACAAAAATACAAACTTTAAGATACAAAAAAAATATACTCGAATACAAAGACGTCATTTATTATCAAATTATTAAAAAATTATGTAAAATACGTGATACATATCGGAAACAAATAAAATATTTAAGTAATTATATACAAATAACGTCCCATGTAATGTCTTCTTCGATGACCTTGCATAAAATCGGCTTCAAGAACACACCACGTGCGAAAAACCAAAAACGCACCAAATTTTACGCAAATACCAAAACGAACCTTTGCCAAATAATATTTAATTAACCCTTTTATATTAATATTCAATAATCGTTAACAATTACGACCGATATCATCGGATTTTTAATTAATTAATATTTATTAACACGTCCTTCCCCGTCAGCGGTTGCACCGAAAAGAAAGGCCCTTGGCAACAGCACATTTGAGAATGAAAGGGACAACGATAGTGCAATTTGTTAATGTTAGATGAGACATCGATAATTGATAAGTGATTGCAAATTTAGGCGGCAAATTCGAACTTGGAAATTTGAATTTGTTTAAGTGGGAGTGGTAGGGGTGTCTATTTGAACTTGGGTGGATTGTCTATGGTAGGAGTAGGAGGAAGGAGTTTTGCTGTTTGATTTGGCGCTAATTTTAAATCATAGATGAACAAGTATAAATGTTTTGAAGTATATTATAAAACTAGTTGTAAGTGGCATTTTACCTTAAGACCTGAACTAATTAGTACGATTCTCTAATGCAATTTTTCAATTTTTAAGATCGGTTCAAGACTTTTTCTAAAACGTGGGTAAAAACTAGTTGTAAGTGGCATTTTTTCTTAAGGCAAGTTGCATGAACTTTCCGTCACGTTTAAATAATCGTTTTAACCGATAAATAATAAATCACAAAGAATCAGCCCGGTCATAGATGAATAAGTATAAATGTTTTAAATACATTTAATAATATTATACTACTAGTTGTAAGTGGCATTTTGCTCTAACTAAGTAGCACGATTCTCTAATGATGTTCAGGATGATTTTTCAAATTTTTGAAATCGGTTCAAGACTTTGTGCCAAAACGTGGATAAATACTAGTTGTAAGTGGCATTTTTTCTTAAGGCAAATTGCATGAACTTACCGACATAGGTAAATAATCGTCTTAACCTATAATAAATCACAAAGAATCAGTCCTAATTAGTACTCTAGTGATATTTTAAGGATATTTTTTTTAATTTTTGAAATCGGTTCAGGACTTTTTGCTAACACGTGGATAAATACTAGTTGTAAGTGGCATTTTTTCTAAGACAAGTTGCATGAACTTACCGACATGGGTAAATAATCGCTTAAGCGATAATAAATCAATATATTAATTTATGAGTATGACGAGTTGCTATATGGCTAAAGAAACGTCTTGGCAGATCGTTTCAAAAAATCAACCAACGCTTTTCGATTTTCATCTAATAGATTTTAAATTTAAACTAGTGGTGTATGGCATCGTGCCTTAAGGCAAGTTGCAGGACCTTCCCGTACCGTAAAGAAATGTTCGAGGAATATTGAATGTTTTCAAATAGATTATTATAAATAAATAATGTAACATTGTCTGATATTTATAAGAATTATGTAAACTGAATTGCAAAGTTGAAATCACTTATTTAAAGTATATAAGGTATGTTTAGAACCTTAGCCAGTAATAAAATTTGCCAGAAATAAAATCTGAATTATTTTCGAAAGTTTATATAATTTTTTTCCAAAAGCTATTATTTTGTCAAAACAAGGAGAAAGTTTTTTGAATCATTCAAATAGGATGCTTGGTTCTTTCAAAAACTACCATTATTTGTACATTTAGCTCGGTATCTCTAAAACGGCTAGACCTGCCTTTGCCAAAAACTAATCACCACTTCTCCCAATCATTATAAATTTAATGTTTTTTGAATCATTCAAATCGGATACTCCGTTCTCTCAAAAACTGTCATTTTTTGCACTGTTGGCTCCGTATTTCCGAAACGGCTGAACCTGCCTTTGCCAAAAACTGATTAGCACATCTCCCCATCAATAGGAATCTAATGTTTTTTTAACCATTTAAATCGGTTGATCCGTACGCCTGAAAACGTAGACGAAAAAATGCGGACACACAAAACACACACATACATCAATTTATTCTAAGGTATGCCAAAAAATTCATTTTCGATTTCAAACTATGTACTTAAGGAGTTAAAAATACTTAAAAGTACTATAAATGAACAAAGGTAATATATAAACTCTAGGTGTTAAGTGACATTTTACCTTAAATCAAGAGTATAAACCATCCGGCGGCGTCCATTAATCACGTGATGAATTTTTTATTAAGGTTTTGGACCCCCGCCTCCCATTGGTGATACAAAAAATTAAGTAATCAAACAAAAATTGTATCAAAAAATTTAGAAGATTTATGGCCGAAGTGAGCCATTTATTATTAGAAGTGAAACCACAATTATCTGATGTTGCCTCGTTGGTGATGTCAGTTTATTGAAAACTCAATTTATAATTGAACACGATTTATAATTATAGAAATTTCGATATCATTTTTAGTCCCGACAAAATGTTCGATAATTAAAAAATACTAAAATAGAAATAAATTTTATATTAGTTTATACATGTATATATATATTTTTGATTTCATATCCTATGCTATTTTTGCTACTTGCCAATAAGTAAAATATGCTTTTATATATAGATTTATATTTTTTTGTTTTTTTTTTCAGAAAATGCGGAACTTACACAGGCATCTTATTCTTGCAATACTACTACAGGTAAGATTCTAAATATATCACTTACTAAGTCTTTTTTAATTACAAATCAATTCAAAACTAGTTGGTTTGGTATTTAGCCTTGAGGCAAGTTAAATGAACTTCCCGATATGTGTAAATAATCGACTTAATAAAAAAAGTGTAAATAATATTCTTTATCAATCCTACTTTGAAAAAAAACGATAATAATTTTAGCAAACTTTGACGAATTTGTAAAATTAAACTACTTGTCGTAAGGCCATAATATTACAGTAAGTTCTATAAGACCATGATGTATATCGCCAAAAAAAGTGCCATGAAAATCGGCTTTAATTTTTTTTCAACAGTTAATTACAAGAAAACGGCTCGGTAGATTTTCACCTAAAATTAATCAGTATCATTCCCAACTGATATCTTTCGAAAAGTTTTTGATATTTTAAAATCGGTTCGGTAGGATGAGCTTAAATATCGACGAAAATTTACCACTTTTTTTCAACAGTTAATTACAAGAAAACGGCTCGGTAGATTTTCACCTAAAATTAATCAGTATCATTCCCAACTAATATCTTTCGAACAGTTTTTGATATTTTAAAATCGGTTCGGTAGGATGAGCTTAAATGTCGACGAAAATTTAACACTTTTTTTCAACAGTTAATTACAAGAAAACGGCTCGGTAGATTTTCACCTAAAATTAATCAGTATCATTCCCAACTAATATCTTTCGAACAGTTTTTGATATTTTAAAATCGGTTCGGTAGGATGAGCTTAAATATCGACGAAAATTTAACACTTTTTTCAACAGTTAATTACAAGAAAACGGCTCGGTAGATTTTCACCTAAAATTAATCAGTATCATTCCCAACTAATATCTGTTCGAACAGTTTTTGATATTTTAAAATCGGTTCGGTAGGATGAGCTTAAATGTCGACGAAAATTTAACACTTTTTTTCAACAGTTAATTACAAGAAAACGGCTCGGTAGATTTTCACCTAAAATTAATCAGTACCATTCCCAACTAATATCTTTCGAACAGTTTTTGATTTTTTAAAATCGGTTCGGTAGGATGAGCTTAAATGTGGACGAAAAGTTTTTTCGAATTACAAAGAAACGGCTTGTCAGATCGTTGCACAAAAATGACAAACGATAGTCCTCACCGAAATACATCAAATGGCTTTTAAATTTCTAAAATCGGTTCAGGCGTTTTTGAGAAATCGTCGATCAAAAGTCTAATTTTGACAAATGCCAAAAAGACCATACTGATTTTTGCAAACTTTGACGAATTTTTAAAGCTGAACCAGTTGTCGTAGGGCCGTAATATTTTAGTATGATCTAGAAGACTATGGTATCTATCGTCAAAAAAATAATCATAAAAATCGTCGAAATTTTTTTTTTAAAACTTTATTACAAGAAAACGGCCCGGCCGATCTCTATCAAAAACTAATCAGCACGATTCCCAACCAATATCTTTCGAACGGTTTTGAATTTTCAAATCGATTCAGAATTGCGGGCTAAAACGTAGACGAAAATTTTTTCACTTTTCTGCCATTATAAAGAAACGGCTTGGCCGATCGTCGCACAAAACTGACAAACAATAGTTCTCGTCGAGATACATCGAATGGCTTTTAAATTTTTGAAATCGACCCAGCCGTTTTCGAGAAAACGTCGATTTACGGCAAAAAATCTGTTCACATACACACACACACACACACACACACACACACATACTTTTTCCAAATGTTGGTCTCATTCGATTCAGAATGGCTTGAAACGTCGAGAAAACATAAAATTAGCGAATCGGATTTTTTGATGAAAACATAAACTTCTCCTTCGGGAAGTTAATTAATTAGTAACCCCCTCCACAAACACCGTGTGTATTTTTAGTTACGAGAAACAATTGCAATTTTTTTTATTTTTTTGAAAATGTTAGATTTAAAAAAAATCGAGTAAAAAATAAATTCATTACTATAACTTCACTAACCCTACGCGAAGTTAAAAATATTATAACTACATTTTCCTTTATCTTTTTCCAGATTTCCCTATGTGACCAACTCCCATCATCGACCGACATAAGTGTGGTGACCAGCACGAGTAGAACTGGAAACAGAAATAAAACGAAAGTCACCATCGCCAGTAGTCACCATTCCTTAGAATCTCCTCTACTTCTGGAACCCTTGGCACCATCTGCCCATAGGGATCCGAAGGATTGATAAAGGAAAGTGTCATCATCAGTGATGATAACAGGATTGCCCATACTGGGATTGGGACGTTGGCTGATGCCTTGGCTGAACCTGCTATCAAAAGTGTGGTGGATCAGGTGAGAAAATTGATACATGTGATTTTGTGTTAAAGTCTTTCTTTTAGTTCTTTTGAAATAAAATTTCTTCAGGCGCGACTAGGGTGTAAATCCGTACAAATGCAACGAAGTGCGTTACGGCAGATAGGATAAGATAAGAGTCGAGTGCCAATGCTTTGTCATTCGCTCTCGACGATATCATTTCTATACGGGTCGATTGTGATTAGTCGTCGTGTATGTGAATAGAGGTCTGTCATTGTATGCGTACCGCCATCAACGTTATATGCGTACCGATATCAACAAGGAAATCGGCATAGATAAATAAACATTCTAAAGTAACATCGTAGTACAAATCTTGATTTATTGAAAAATGCCTGAATCAGAAGATTATTTTACCCTGTTCTTTGAAAATAATAAAACAAACTAGTTGGTATTAGTATTTTGCCTTGAGGCAAGTTACATAAACTTCCCGATATGTGCAAATAATCGACTTAATCAATAAAAAATAAATTAAATTATGAGTGATAAAAAGTATTTCAAGTGGATTTATTACACATCAAAGTTCCAAAAAAAGTTTCAAAAAACGTCTTAAATTTTTTTTCAACAGTTAATTACAAGAAAACGGCTCGGTAGATTTTCACCTAAAACTAATCAGTATCATTCCCAACTAATATCTTTCGAACAGTTTTTGATTTTTTTAAATCTATTAGGTAGTATGAGCTTGAATGTGGATGAAAAATTTAACACTTTTTTCCAAATTATAAAGAAACGTCGCACAAAACAGACAAACGATAGTCCTCATTGAGATACATCGAATGGCTTTCAAATTTCTGAAATCGGTTCAGTCGTTTGAGTCGTTGAGAAAACGTCGATCAAAAGTCTAATTTTGACAAAGGGCAAATAAACGATAATAATTTTTGCAAACTTTGAAGAATTTTTAAAATTAAACGATTTGTCGTAGGGCTGTTATATTTTAGTATGATCTAAAAGCATCTACCGTCAAAAATAAAATCATAAAAATTGACGATTTTTTTTTAAACTTTATTACAAGAAAACGGCCCGGCCGATCTTTACCAAAAACTAATCAGCACGATTCCCAACCAATATCTTTCTAACGGTTTTCGAATTTTCAAAATCGATTCAGAATTGCGGGCTAAAACGTGGACGAAAATTTTTTCATTTTTCTGTGATTTGCAAAGAAACGCCGCGGCCGACCGTCGCACAAAAGTCAGTAACGCTAGTCCTCATCAAAATACATCGAATTGCTTTTAAATTTTTGAAATCGGTCAAGCCGTTTTGGAAAAAACGTCAATTTACGACAAAAAATTTGTTCACATACACACGCACACATACTTTTTTCAAATTTGGTCTCATTCGATTCAGAATGGCTTGAAACGTCGAGAAAACATAAACTTCTCCTTCGAAAAGTTAATGAACATTTGTGCCGTGTACTAAACGTAAGTTTATTGATTAGAATTATTCGAAGTTTCTATAAATCTTTGAAGTTATTAAAATGAAAAATATTTTTTATACAAGACAGATATTACAGCTGTTCAAAGAATGAGATTATATCGCCAGCGAAAAAGTCAAAAAAAATACAAGCAGTCAATGAATGTATGTTAATTTTAATTACATAAAGTTCTCCGAACACAATTATTACATGATGAGTGAAGTTGCGAAAACTATATTTGTTTAGGCGTTGTTTAAAATAATCCACTGTGTGAACGAATATTATAGATTTTATTAATCAGCAATTACTTCATTTCTTTAATAAAGGTTCATTTCTAAATGCTAATTACAATGACAAACCGATCATGTCATATTTGAAGTGTGACTTTAATCACATTATTGTTTTTAAATATTATACATATTTTTAATGCAATTATAAAAATATAATTTATAATTCATCATTATATAAATGTGTATAATGCAAAATGTTCAGAAACCTCTGAAACGTAAAGATATATAAAATTTTTCATTTTCGATTTTTTTGCGATTACTATAACTTACCCTACGGTAAGTTAATTATCACCAAGTGATAACAAATGAATCCGACTGATTTTGTGAAGGTTCTACGACTACATAATAACACTTTCGCATATATCAAATCTAAAACAAAAAACAAAAAGCAACAAAGTAAAAAGATCGAAAGATCGAAACGGATGTCCGAGTGACCGAATCCGTTTCGAAATTTGCCGTGAAAGCAAATGCGATCCGTCGAGGACATTCATTTAACACTCGAAGAATCGCTGAAGAAACATACAAAGAGCGATGGATGAACTTATCTCGTTTTTGAATCAAATTAAGTTACTATGATGAACAAAATACTCAAAAAAAAATCGGGTAGAAACTTAGAAAAAATGGATGGATGCTGATACAAATTTTCGATGACAATCTCGGGAATGCCGATAAACCGATTTGAATAATTTAGAAAACATTCGATTCGTATTGATAAGGAGACATGCTGATTAGTTTTTGGCAAAGGCAGGTCTAGCCGTTCCGTAGATACGTAACAAAAAATGCCAAAAACGGTAACTCTGTTCTCAAGAGAACGGAGCGTCCGATTTTAATAATTCAAAAAACATTTTACTTGTATTGACAAGATGGAATACTGATTAAATTTTTAGGAAGGCAGATAAAAATAAAAATTAGTTAAATATCATTTGGCTTTTAAAAATGTTTATTGGACTTATGTACATCAAATTATCAGATATTTTATAGAGATTTTAATAATGCGTACACATTTTGTGTAATTTTTCGGTTCCGTACCAAGATTTTTAATTACGGTACGGAAAGTTCTGGCAACTTGCCTTAAGAAACTATGTCATACACCCCACTAGTACTTTGACTTTGAGGCATGAATTTTATATGATTTTTGAAAGGCAGTAATAAAAGGCAAACAATATTTTCACTATACAATTTTTTAAGTTATTAACTTCCCGTAGGGTAAGTTATAGTAATCGCAAAAAAATCGCAAATAAAAATTTTTACTTATCTTTAGGTTTCAGAGGTTTCTGAACATTTGGCGTACTTTAGAAAAAAATGATATTTTTTTTATAACGAAAGAAATGCCTTTGTGCATCCCAGACTAGGTCTTTTGTCCGGGTATGTCGGACCGTCTGGATTTAATACCGCCTGGATTTATTACCGACTAAAATCTCCGCTTCTGGTCCCCTCTCCGTTAGGCATTACTTCGTGGGGGGAGGATCTAGAATGTTATCATTCTTTCATTGAAATTTTTATGTGTGTATGTGTGTATTTGGATACAATTTTTTGTCCACGATTGACGGGGAGACGTGCTGATTAGATTTTGGCAAAGACCTTCCAAAGTGCAGGGCAAAAAAGTTTTTGAGGTTAAAAGAGCGCTCCATTTGAATGATTCAAAAAACCATTTACTAGAGGTTTGAAACTTTTTATATAAATAAAAACATAGTGCTTATAATTGTACATTTGAAAATATTCGAAACAATTGTTAATAGTTTATAATATAATAATATTGTTCAATATCTATGATTATTGATTTTTTTCTAATAATTGAGGGGAATTTTGAGCAAATGCATTGAGGTACGATGCCATACACCACTAGTTAATGCATGTTTTGAGAATACAGAGAAAATTAAGATTAGAAACCGTCAAACAGTTATAATTCTAGCAAAAAATTGGCACGTGACCAAACCCATGATTTTAGCCTTTGAAATAATTCAATAAGAAATTTGCAGCAACTGCCTAAATAAAATAAAATTGTTTTCACATTTTTATATACATTCTCGAATTTTTAAAAAATAGTAAAAACCAGCCTTTAAATATTTATACTGATAAGAAGTCTACGAAAAGGGCTAAGTAAGAATTTCTATTAAATAAGTAGAGTAGAAATTGAGAAATCTTGGGTATCGTGATCAAAAAAATCCTTTCGAAAAAAATCCTTTCAAAATTTTGAATTTGAATTGTAAGTCATTAAAAGGACCATGTAAAAATTTCAATTAAATAAGTTGAGAAATCGTGGGTATCTTGATCGAAAAAGACAGTTTCGAAAAAAAATGTCTTCAAAATTTTGAATTTGAATGAAAAGTCTATAAAAGGACTATGTAAAAATTTCAATTAAATAGGTTGAGTAGAAGTTGAGAAATCGTGGGTATCACGACCAAAAAGGACAGCTTCAGAAAAACTGCTTTTAAAATTTTTAATTTGAATGGGAAGTCTATAAAAGAACCATGTACAAATTTAATTTAAATAAGTTGAGTAAAAGTTGAGAAATCGTGAAAATTTTGAAGGAAACTGAAAAGAATTATCTTATTGTTAGTCAAACAGTTATATTTCCAAAACTTTTCCAATTCAAGTTTTCAAAAATCCTCTTAAATAAAAGTTAGAATAAAAGTATCTATTTTGAACTTCTTAAATCGGTTCTCATTAATAATTACTGATATGTCATCAATAATTATGTCATTCATCATGTCATTAATAATTGTTAATAATTAATAGTGTTTTATTCATTTTTGTTTCAGATTTATTCAAAAAGTGCAGGAGTGACCATAAATAATAATGACTCTGAAGAAACTTTGGTCGAAGAAAGCAGCGATAGAGATTCGGTAAAATATAATTTCTATATTATATCACGATTATCTAAATATGTACGATTAAAGCTAAATTAAAGTATGTAAAATAAAATATTTAAATAAATATATGACTTTGTAAAACGCCCAATTTCTCATCCGAGAAACTGAGGAAGTAGCCTCAAACAAACAAATTATTAAAATTGTAATGGTACACCCAAATTTAAGCTTATACCTCTTACTAGTAAATTTTCAATTTTCCCTAATATACAAATAATTAGTACTCCTATAAAATTTTTCAAATTAACAAATAACTTGTTACAAACCAAATTTGCATAAATACTTCAAGTTCTAAAATCTTTGGTGTAAATTTTAACAGGACTTCTTTCACGTGTGTTAATTATGCAACATGCATTTCTCATTTCTCAGTTCTTTCTGCGTACAATTATTATTAATATTATTCATAATTATTATATTTAATGTCATTGTCGTCTGTAATTTCTTTTCAAATTATTCACCATTGAGAAAATAATAATTCTATATAACAGTTCTGTGCGTGGCATACTGCACTCGTATGCAAAATTAATATTGAAATATTTATATTGTGGTGTAATAATGAATAGTACGGTAATTATTTGAATAAACAAGAGACAAGAAACTTAAGCTTTATCCAAGTCTAGAACAAATTGAAATTTTCAATAAAATCTGAATTTCACAAATTTGAAAATTGCCTGAAACGTTAGTTTTTTCATTAAAATATATAAAATCTGTATAGTGAATTTAAGGGTCGGTGGCTCTCAGGCAGATTCCAGATTTGATATCCTCTTGGCCAGTTTGATATCAAGCAGTAGTGATACCAGATCTACAGATCTAAAATATAATCTTCTTCTAATAATCTCCTTAAAAAGTTAATGGCCAAATACTATATGGTCAGACTAGATTAGGGAATAATGTCATAATAGCTCATAGAACACACGGTTATGATGTATATTCAAATATATATATATATATATATATATATATATATACAAAAAATAGTAAAGTAAGTTAGTATGTATAAAGTTACTCTTATTTAAAAAAAAACTAAATATCATATACTTGTTAAAATTAGAGAAAAATGCTAGTAAAGTATTTTCCAGTTGTATGACATCGTGCCTTAAGGCAAATTGCTGGAACTTCCCGTACCGTAACAAAATGTTCGAGAAATATTAAACGTTTTCAAATAGATTATTATAAATACTGTAACTTATATATGTTTACAGAAAAGTAAATAAACAAAACTCAATCAATCGAATTTAAAATAAAGGACATTCTCTAATATTTATAAGAATATTATATGAACTAAAGTGCAAAGTTGAAATTATTTATTTGAAAAATATAAGTGCGCGTTAGAACTTTAGCTAGTTTAAAATTGAAGTTCGAATTCTTTTCGATATTAAAAAAAATATTTTTGGGAATTAAAAAAAATGTTTATTTTCCGAAAGCAATTGTTTTATCAATACAAGCAGAAAGTTTTTTGAATCATTCAAATCGGATGCTTAGTTCTCTAAAAGCTGCCATTTTTTGCACATTTTGCTCGGTATCTCCGAAACGACTGGACCTGCCTTAGCCAGATCTAATCACCACTTCTCTGCATCATTACGAAATGAATGTTTTTTAGATCATTCAAATCGGATGCTCCGTTCTCTCAAAAACTCGATTTCTATACTCTGCACTCTTTGCTCTTTATCTCCGTAACTGCTGGACCTGCCTTTGCCAAAAACTAATCAAATCATCTCCTTATCAATAGGAATCGAATGTTTTTTGAACCATTTAAATCGGTTGAATCGTGCGCCCGAAAACGTGGACGAAAAATTGTATCCGTACATACATAAACACTCACACGCACACACACATCCTTTTTTTCCGAGGTATGCCAAAATGTTCAGAAACCTTCAAAACGTCGAGAAATGTAAAAATTTCGATTTCGATTTTTGGGCGATTACAATAACTTACCCTACAGGAAGTTAAAAAATATTATATTGAGTCTTGTAAACTAAACAACAGTGCTCACGGCCAAAAAAACTAACAGTGAAAAAAAAAAACCTTAGTTATGGATTTTTAAAAATCTTCTAATACCGACGTCGTGAAAATCAAGGTGTTGGCTGGTTATATATCTTTTGTCCTCTATTTCAAATATTGTTGTTCAAAAATTCCTAACCTGTTGGACCTTTACTCTATATCAACCATCACAGTTTCTCAACCTAACAAAATTCGTAATGGCAAACTAATTGATCCAGATTTCCATCGCCTTATTGCACCTCGTATTATCTCATCGCAAATATCGAAATCGTTATTTTGCAAACCTATACTAATTATTCCTCCATCCGTCCATCAGTCCATCAGTCCGTCGGTTTCTTTATCTTAAGACGTATTACGATTTATGTCTTACGAAGACAAAAGCACAGTATGGGAAATTGCAAAGGAATTTCACAATTGACAATTATTGTTTGTCTATCATTTTCTGGTGTTAATGGTAATGTTCAAGAAGTGTTCAAGTGTTGAATTGTTCGAATGTTGGTGTGAATTTTATTGTCGGTGTTAGGTAAGATTCGTAGTAGTCCGCTACATTTTATGATTTACGTTTCCTTTATTGTTGGACGTTATATGGTCATGTCTTTAGGTGCCTTTACATGTGGGTTCAAGGATTTTCAAAATATAAAAATGCTCATTAGTGGATATCGGGAGGAGGATCTAAATCTTATCTTAGGATTATTTACACCAATTGTTACCACTGTTTGTTGAAAATTTGTAAATTTAGACTTGTAGTTATAAGAAGGAATATTTAATATAGGTTGTGCAAAATAACGATTTCGATAGAAATGATTGTGATGATGAGATAATACTAGATACAATAGGGCGATGGAAATTTGGATCAATAGTTTGCCATTACGAATTTGTTAGGTTGAAAATTTGATTGTTTTTGAGATAGAGTGAGGGATCACCATCGATATCGAAAAACCAAGTAAAAGTTAGGAGTTTTTTGACATCAATATTTGAAAGTAGAGGTCAAAAGATGCATATCCAGCCAACACCTTAACCTTTACGACTCGCTATCAGAAGATGTTCTAAAATCTATAACAAAAGTATTTCTTTCCTGTTAGTTGTTTTTGCCATGAGCACTGTTGTTTAGTTTACGAAACCTTAATATAGTTTTTAAGTATTCTTTATTTAGTTGTTTTATAAATATTTCAATATTTGTTTCATGAGGTTATTGTATAATTTTTTAAAAGGTTTAATAAGGTTTTGTATTTTAATAAGTTATATTCGACACAAATGTTTTATATAATATCGTTAATAGTTTTACATGTAGGTGAGGCAGGTCAGGATAAACTAACATTTATCCTGACAAAGGTGTAAACAATAAAAATAGTAAACTAGTGGTGCATGGTATCGTGCCTTGAGGCAAATTGCTGGAACTTTCCGTAACAGAATTAAACATTCGAGCAAAAAAAAGATCATTGAATATTGATCAATGATTAATAACAATTGTTTAAATATTTTCAAAGAGATAATTACAATTACTATATGTGTTTTCGTTTATATATTATACAGTGACGATCTTATAGCAACAAAATACTTAAGAATGTTTACATTTACAAGCGAT